ATTCCACATATGAGTAAAATCATATGGTATTTGTCTTTCTCTGGCTGACTTATTTCGCTTAGTATAATAGTCTTCAGCTCCATCCATGTCTTTGCAAATGACAAGATTTCATTCTTTTTTATGGCTGGGTAATATTCCACTATATAGCACTTCTTTATCCATTCATCAGTCTATGGACATTTGGGATCCAGCAATTGCACTACTAGGTATTTACCCAAAGGATACAAAAATACTAATTCAGAGGGGTACATGCATCCGGATGTTTATAGCAGCATTTTCAACAATAGCCAAACAATGGAAAGAGCCCAAATTTCCTGTGACTTTCTGAGGGCTGCATATTAAGGCTTTCATTATAAACTTAGTTTTGACAGTTTATTCTTGTAGTTTTCTCAGTTTTTGTTTCACATACTTTGAAAAATTCTTAATAGTTTCATAAAGACGTGTTCCTTTGGAAACTTCTTTATGACCTGCTTCTTTTATCAGGATGAAAAGTCCTTCATCTCTTTTAATGCTTTTTTTTCAATATTAACATTGTGACACCTGATTTTTGCATGTTAGCATTTGCTTAATACAGCTCCTTTTATCTGTTTATTCCTAATATCCCTGTGTCATTGGGTTTGAGATATAGCTCATAAATACATTACTAGATTTTGATTTTTTTATTCAATATAAAAGTTCTTAACTTTTAACTAAGGAATTTAAAACATTCCCATTTCTATAATTTCTGATATGTTTGGAATTATTTTTGTTATTTTTTTTTCATTTATCATATGTTCTAGTTTATTTTTGTCCCTTTGTCTTCCTTTAGTTAGGCTGATAAATTTTTTCTTTAGTTCTATTTTTCCTCTACTATCTTATAAATACATTATTTGTTTCTACTTTTTGTGGTTACTTTAACATTGTTAATATACATGTTGAAACATATTTCTCTAACATCTGGAGCTAATTAGTATCTCTAATATTCCTCAGAAGAACAACAACCAAAAGGCTTAGCATACTTTTATTTTCTCCTGATCCTTTGCAACTTTCATTTCTCTCACCTCATTTATATTATTTTGAATTTTATGTTTAAGTGGTTCTATTTTAAAAATTAAAATATGTATATTTAAGCTTTTAAATAAACATTTATGTAGACTTGATGTACTTTATTACTCTCTTTGCTATCCATTATGTCTTTTATCTCATTCCCTCCTCCTGAATTTCTTCTTCTTATTGTTTATATTACCTAGCAGTTCTTTCAGAGAGAATCCTGAGGTAGTAAACGTCAGAGTTCCTTTAATTCTAAAAATACCTTTATTTCTGCCTCTCACTTGAATAATAGTTTTGGTGGGTGTAGAATTCTATCTTCAAAGTTATTTTCCCTTAGAATGCTAAAGATATTATTCTACTGTCTTCTTATATCCTGGGTTGCTCAGAAGGAATCTGATGTCAATTTGATTCTTATTTCTTTGTAAGTGATCTTTCTTTTGACTCTGACAGCTTTTAAGATTTTCTTTTTATTCTTGATGTTCACAAATTTCATCACAACATATTGAGGTGTGTGTATGTGTGTGAGTGTGTGTGTGTTTTATCTTCAATTTATCCTTCAGCCCAGAGGATCTTTGAAGTTCTGAGAAGCTTTTCCATAATCTTTCTTTAAATGCTGCCTTTCCTTGAAATTTTCTCTATTTTTTCCTTCCGAAAGTAGTTTCAAACAGATGTTAGAACTGTGTGTCATCCATGTATCTTAATCCCCTATTTCCATGTCTTCATCTCTAATACCTTGCTTTGAGCTGGGGTATCCTTCAGTCTGTACTCATCTGTTTTGTTTTTCAGGCATTTCTCACAGTCTCTAATCTACCACAGTTTATACTTATTTTCTTTCCACTTATTTCATGAAATCTTTTTCTATTGTCCCTAAAGATTTGGGGTGAATGGTATACATGAGGGTGACAGGTAGGAGCAGTGATCAGTTTGCCAAGTTCATACCCTTTCAAGTTTTGTAATATTTGTCAAAAACGCTCATCAGTTGTAAAGGACCAAACTGAGGTTCAGCAAGGCAGGTGTAGCAGAAGAATTGAATGATGTGCTTGAGGTGCTAGTGAGTCTCAGGTTTGAAATGGCAAGCCGTCAAGACTCAGCTGTTGTGTTGGGATGCCTGGTGGCTCAGTCGGTTAAGTGTCTGCCTTCAGCTCAGGTCATGAACCCAGGGTTCTGGGATTGAGCCCCGCATTGGGCTCCTTGCTCAGCGGGGAGTCTGCATCTCCCTCTGCCTGCTCTGCCTGCTTGTGCTCTGTCTCTCTCTCACTCTCTCTCTCTGACCAAAAAAAAAAAAAAAAAAAAAAAGACTCAGCTATTGTGGGAGTCAAAAGTAGACACACATGTGAATAAAGGAGAAGCTGTAAATCTGGAGGTCATGACAGTGAGTCAGAAAATTGAACAAATGACAAGATATAAACCTGTTTATAGAAAAAGTGAATCAGAGTTTGAGATTTATAAGTGTAAAAATCTCTAGTACTGAGGCGATCCAAGTGAAGGTTTATCTTTGTGGGTTGCTGATATGGGATTTAGGTTATATGCGAGAAGAAATCAAAGAATCTTGAGCCCTGAACATTAGAATAGTCACCCTTGTGGACCTTGGCAAACTGATCACTGCTCCTACCTGTCACCCTCATGTATACCATTCACCCCAAATTTTTAGGGACAATAGAAATTGCTATTATAAAAGTTGTATTTTTAAAAGACAGCTTAACAAATATATCAGTAGAAAAACTGTGTATGTTTCATTATTTTATACTGATTCTTCATATGTTAATGAGGCAAAATGTATCTCCCTTTATTTTTCAGGAATATATATTTTGTTGTACTCTTTATGTAAGATTAGTTTTGTGACTTTAGACCACTTTAGTCCATATGGACTAAATACACATTCTTTAGGTTGAGACAGCTTTCCTTCATAGTTAGAGCACTTTCTAGATATATATGAATATTCATCTCATCATAGTAGAATGCTATTGCTCATAGAAATGGTTCTTACTTCTCTAGATTCTGTACTTTTTTCCACACATTGTGGCCATATTCTTGTCCAGAGAGACATGAATTATTGAAATAAATGTCAGTAGCCCCAAATTAGAGGTATTTCAATTTGTATTAGAAATGAAGTACATCATCAGGAAGTCCCAAGGTAACAAACATAATAAAGAGAAAATTAAAAGTCTCTGTACTGACACATTGAGCATTGTATTATTTCTTAGAAAATTGCAGTGCATCCAGTACTTAGCATTTAACATTTCAACATTTTCACATTGTTTTACATAACCTTATACCGATAGTTTAAAAATGGAGAAGGAATAATTTTGCTAGCACATACAATTGAGATGAGACAAACTGGTGGAAGGAAATGACAGGTGAATTAGAAAGTGTAACTAGTCTTCAGGTATTAAAGGGAAGAGTTATCTTTGAAATTCAAATTGGGATCAGGAACCGCAGATCAGGAGTGAGCAAAGTAGTCAGCTGCAGTTACTTAACTTGGAAGAAAAGTCTGAACGTCTCAAGTATAGGAGGAATTACAGTTGGTTAAAGCGACATTATGCCTGAAGCAGGAATAAAGGTATGACAAAGAAGGTTTTAGAAATCCATGACTTTATCATACTGAAAGTTGCCATGTTTGTGAGAATAAGTCTAAGTAACTAAGTATATTTAAGTGCTACATGAAACAAGGAATCATATGCCGAAAACCAGCAACACTTTTTTTAGTACTATTTTTAAAATAATGATGATTATGGTCATAATCAGTTGAAGTACATGCTATATGCCTAGCACAGGGCTACTCAGCTTCTGTACATTATCTCTGAACATTAAAAAAAAAAAAAAAAACCTGGTGAGACAAACATGGTAAAGTTCTTTTTATAGGATGGAAAGAACTAAAAAGCTAAATTAACATCTGGTAAATTTCAACAGAATAAACAAATAATAGGAATAATTTGGACCAAATTTTTGAAAGATAGTCTGCCTTAGCAGTATACTGGAGTGGAGGCGAGAAGATGGGGGTTGTACTTTTATTTCTCTGTTAATGAGTTTTTTATTTTTTTTTCTAATTCTATGTTTGCTCTTTTCAATTTCTGGAAATAGCAAGACGGAGACTGACAGAGGAAGAGGGTAGTTTAGTTACTGGTTCTGATTGATGAAGACTTGCATTTTAACAAGATTTACACAAAGACATTATACCAGTAGTCAAATAAGTAGCAGCCCTTACCAAAATGAAGCTGCTCACCTTCGCGGAGGAGTCACAAGTAACTAATGGTTAGCATGTTCAGAATGATTAAGTTGCATCAAGTAAAATATCTATGAAATCATGGCTGTGTACTGCTAGTGACTTGATTAACTTTTCAAAATGATTTGATTAGGACACACATTGTAATAATACAGAACAATGTATTAAGGACTTTAAAATACTTATGTTATTTTTGTATTTTGGCTATTAGCCAAATCTCATTTTATACTTTGGTCTTACACCAGGAATATCACACTTGTATTAAAGCAGTTTTTCCTTTTGGATGGCTGTTGGGATGTAATCTTAACATCAATACAGATAAAACAACAAAGAATTATCAGCTAAAATGGAAGGATAAAGAATGTAGCCAAAAGAATTATGCAAGATGTCTGTAACTTAAATTAAACCGAAAATAGGACCATTCCCATAATTACATTTCAAGGAAAAAAAATTCAAGTAAAGTCATAATTGTAATCTCCCTTGGGTTTTAATTTACATTCAGGCTTCTCCTCATAAAAAATTGAACATGCAAATGGAATTAGGACGTATTTTTTTTCTATCATAGATATTGTATATAGCATAAAGACTGCAGGGTTTCTAATTTCTGTAAATAATGACTCTGTCACACAGGAGAGGTAGATATTTGAAATAAAAGCAATGAGTTGAAGATTAACAATCCCCTGGAGGACACATGATGCCCCCCCACCACCACCACCATATTCAGTGTGAGTCTCTTTTGTTTCCACAGAGCATCTGTACAACCACCACTGCATTTTTGCACTTTTTCTTCCTGGCTTCATTCTGTTGGGTTTTGACTGAGGCGTGGCAGTCATATATGGCTGTAACTGGAAAAATTAGGACACGGCTTATAAGGAAACGTTTTTTGTGCCTTGGATGGGGTAAGCATATTAATACACCCTTTCGTGCTCTTGTTAAGATGGCTTTGAACACATAATGAAGCTGTAGAGTGTGATTATCCCCAGGCTACTTTTCTTTGTGTCCAGTTTGATATATGGAAGTGGAAACATATGAACCTGGTCATTTTTTAACATTCTTTGGGCATTTGGAGTTTTAAAAAGGAGTAAATATTGGATGAGCCGTAGCCAGTCAGTTAAGCAATGGTGTAAGAGGAGTCCTGGGATACAGGCAGAAAAGCCAAGTGTTCTCTGCTAATACGTGCCGAAAACGCAAAATGTCCTGAAATGTTCAGGGCTCAAAACAGGTACTAGTCATGTACTCCCCATAAGAAAACTTCAAGAAGTCCCTTCCAAGAGAGCTCAAAGAAATTAAGGACGACAGCTATTCATGTCACAGGAAGAAAGTCATGTAGAGATTGAATGAAACCTCACAGCCAGTCGGAGAAACAGAATTGTTGACAGACTGAGAATTAATTAATTATTTGCTTACCTTTATTAGGAAAAGTTTCTCTCAGATTGCCTTATGAAATGGACATCTTGAAGATCTGGGTTTTTCGTAAGGCCAATTCTAATGTTTAATTAGAATTAATTAGCTTAGTTTAATTAGAATTAGTTTAATTAATTTAAGAAACTGGTTTCAGAAAACCTCAGGATTTTCTCATGTTTGCCTTTGAGTTTCAAAAGACTCGAACAAAAAAAAATGGGGAATTTTGGGCCAAATATATAAAAAATACCTAATATACCCAAAGACTAGAGAATAGGATGTTTGATGGAGTCTGAAAAATTACACGTAAGTGGACTTATTACAATAACAGAATAACTCATACTGGAAAAGTAGGATCCAGACCACTTAAAAATTATCCATCAGGTTTCAGCAAGGTTCTGTCATGTCTGATTAATATATTAGGGCTCTTTGCACAGGTAAATGGGAAAGCCATTAAGAAGAAATTGGAGAATGTATTCTACTTACACTTTCATAAAACTTTTGTCTGGATTTCATGTCAAAGACCTTTTAAAGATAGACTGGTATTGAATCAGGGAACACTTTTTTCATGAATTAGTGCCATAGATCCAAGAAATATAGAATCCAGGTAAGTGACTTCCCCTAAGTATAAAGAATGGCAATTTTCTGGATCGGTAACTAGCTATTTAATAACACCATTACCAAAGATCTTGAGGAGAGGGCTCACAGCTGGTCTCCAAGTTTACAGATAATATTAAACTACTCTGGAAAGCAAAAAAGCTAAGCCGATGGTGCTAGACTATCAGGAAAATTCTGAGTTGGCAGATTATGAATTTCATATGAATTTCATTATAGCAAAGTGCAACATAATAAATTTAGAAAAAATAATCTAAATTGTACAGAATGAAGATTATTAATGCTTTAACTATGACCCAGAAGAGAATTTTTTCTAACGACTTGGTCTAGTCTATCAAAAAGTGAACTACACACACACACACACACACACACACACACACACACACACGTACGTGTGTATACAGGGTGGGGGGAGACGCATATCTGTTTAAAAATATGATGTGTCCCTCTGAGATGCTTCTCATAGTTTTTGTCATTAAACTTCATGAAGGAATGTGATGTCACTTGAAAAGACAGAAGAGAATAGCGGGAAGGAGGGGAAATGATAGGAAGAAAGAAGATGGGTGGAGGGGACTCAAGGAGGTGATTAGATGATGGATTTTTCTACCTGGAAAGGCAAACATCATCTTCCTGAAAAGAAGTCATGGTCAAAAAGAAAAAAAAAAAAAAAAAAAGAATTAAACAGCATAGATTAGACTGAGCTCTGTTCACCAAAGCACAGGGACGTTCCACTGAACTTGAATAAGGAGAGTGTGATTCATATAAATATAAACTAAAAGATGTTAGGTCAGTGTTGGCGCAGGTATGCAGGCAATTGAATTCTCAGAGGGACTGATCAGTGCGTGGAGAGATGCCTGCCTAGAAGTCCATGAAGAGAAACTGTCATATATTTTCTGAATTTCGTTCAGGATTGTTAAAAGGAGGATAATCAGGAGGCCCCAAAATTAATTCCTTAAGGCCCTTAACCTTGATCCTCCATTCTTGTTATTATAAGTAAATCATAAAGAATGAATTATGTGATATAATTTATTTTTTTCTCTTATAAGTACAACTGGATGTGGAACAATATGGGGCCGACTGAATGTTCCACTTCTGTGATATTCCATCACAGCAGAATATCCATTTTTTGCCTTTCTGATTTTATAACTATAAATTTCCTTTATAACAGTGTAAACCCCTAGAGAAAAAATAACTTAAAAGATATACTAAATCTCTGTTATTAGTTTCCTTTAAACCCATGTCAAATGTGGTGGTAACCTAGCAACATTAGAGAAGTGCATTGAGTTAAAAGACCAGCTGTCGCTCTCATACTTTTGTACTTGAAAGAAATTTTGTAATGGAAACATACTTTATGAAAGAATTAATGCAATGGTAGTTCCTTCGATGTAAGCATTTTGAGTCTGTCCTAGCTTTTCTTGAGCCAGAGTGCACAGTGGCTACGGCTGAATGTGAAGTGTGACGATGCTTCTCTTGCAGGTTTACCAGCATTAGTAGTGGCCACATCAGTAGGCTTCACAAGGACGAAAGGATATGGCACTGACCACTAGTAAGTCCATCCACAGTGATAAATCATGTTTATAATTAAGTAAATCATCATCTAAGCTTCATTAATCTTGGTTGGCACTGCCGATGGCTTGCATTTTGTCACTGAGTCATTAACTATGGTAGAAATCATGTTAGTGTGGAATGATGTAAGGGAGCTTAAATGCACAGAGGTTAGGAAGTAAATGGCGAAGCCCTGTGCAGAATCCTTGTTTCAGTTTCCCATTGCCTCATGAGACCAGTGCATTTCAAAATGTTTCGATATTTACTTTGTGTGTTTAATCTCAAATACATTTTTTTAGAACTGAATAAACCTTGGTGTTTACCTTTTAGAATATGATTCTGATCTGAGCTTCTGATTTCACTAATGGTAATATATATTGGTATCACCTAAGTTGTGTCATGTTAGTTCAAGTTTTGTTGCCACATTAAGGTAATACTAAAACTTAGAGATCAGGGGATTCAGTAGAATACACGTTAGAAAATGCCTAGGCTCTGGGAGAAATTAGAGGGAAGAAATAGGGTATGGTATCAGCCCATCCTAATCACAGCTATAATACTGATAAATTCTGTGAGAGATTTTATAAGTAAGCTTTATGTTTAACATTTAAAATGTAAAACAATACACTTTCATATTTTACTTCATCTGCTCTTTCAAGCTGAGGAGGCAGTTGAGAAATGGGGAAAGAGATGTGCACATCTTATTAGAAGCATAAATTTTTAAAGTGAGATTTTCGGTTCATCGTCAGGTTTGAGATAGGAATTACCACTAATTAGACCTTCTGGTGGGTTCATCCAAATGGATATTGTGCCAAGAGACATCATGTTACCTGCCCATCCAAAAGAAATTTTCAAAGAATTTACAGAACTCATGTCATTAGAACACTTGTTTTTCTTCTGCAATCTATATTATGAACACACAAACAGGCAAAACTCTCCAGTCGTCCCCGTGGTAGAGTAGTGCTTACTACAGCGCTATTACCTTTAGCCGTTAACTTTTGACAACAGTATGACTCTTTGGTATAAACCCAGCATTTGAAAGGCACTGTACTGGGGATGTAGAAAGAGATAGGATTATGGATGATACGGTTCCAACTTTCAAGGAGTTTGTGATTAAGACGGAACACAATATAATGAGTAATGAAGGTATCAGTTTGAAGATTACCTTGCACAAAAATATAGCAGAAATGTAGTGGCAGTCTAAGAGACACCGACTACAGTGTTGCATCAGACTAAAGGCTTTTTCTCTAGTTATTTCATTTAAAAAATAGATATTAAATTATCAATCCCAAAGTGGGAAAGTAGAATTTTATGTGTCCATTCCTATGGCAAGGAGAAATAAGTAAAAGCAGACTTTGAATACACATATAGAGACACATTTGTGTTATGTATAAATTGATAAAGTATTGGCATGTATGTGTGGGAAAGGTTACTAGGTTAAAATTTTTAATTAAGATATAATTTATGCAGAGTAACATTCACCCTGTTCAGTGTATAGTTCTGTTGGCTTTAACAAATGCCTAAGTCAGGTAACCACCACCACAACCAATATAGAAAAGTGTATTCTTAGAACAGATATAGAATAGTTATTGTTAATGGTGGTTAATTTTGGAGGCAGCATGTTGATTCTGTGGACTTAAAGTAATATTGACAGGGTCAAATGTCAAAAACAGGTGCATGAAATAGTGGGCATGACTCATTGCATCAGCAGAGATAAAACATTTCCTAGTGTTTTCCTTATATTGACTCTCCTGGACTCTGCACACGCAGATGGGCCACCTTGCGAAGCTTCCAGGGTTGAGCCCCATGTCTTCCTAATGGCCCTCTACTGTGAGAAAACAAACATTCTTACTCAAATGGGTTACCAGGTCTCTACCATGTCTCTAGCAATGTAAACCTGCATCTCTTGGTGAATTGAGTAATTGAAATAAACACAGCTGCACTTATTTTTATTCAAAAGCTTATCTTTAGTGAATTGATTTAGTAGTCTGGGGCAAAAGTAAAATCAGAAGGAAAAAAAAGTGTACAAAATATAGATTATCCATTCCCTGCAATGATGGCTTTTAAACCAATTTCTCCCAATATCTCAGTGGCCTCAAGGAAGAACCCATAAATGACATATGCAAGACTCTAAAAGCATGCTGTTCTTGCTTAAAAGAGTATTTGAAAATTTTCATAATGGATATAAAGCAGCATTTTACAAAACTTATGTAATAGTCACCTTTGTACTGAAAGTCAATATAAAAATCTCACTGCAAGAGTAATTTGTCTAAAATGTTTTAACTGCCTGAAAGTAAGGCCTTATATTAAAAGTTTCTTTTCTGTGAAAGGTATGTAGTTTTTCTCACACATGAAATGCTCTACTTTTAGCTTTTTACCACATCTCCAAATGCATTTTTGTTTAATTACAAGCTTTTGAAATGTGCCAAAATTCAAACACTAAGTACATGATTCAAGTAATTTATATCATACGTCAGTGGTTTAACACTTATCACTAATTTTTGTTAGTTTTTATCTGATGTTATTTTTAGCTGCTGGCTCTCTCTTGAAGGAGGACTGCTCTACGCTTTTGTTGGACCTGCAGCCGCTGTTGTCCTGGTAAACATCAAAATCAACTTCTTTTGTTTTCTTAGCCAAGAAAGACTACTTTGCTTCAGTTAGAGTGATGGTTTTGTATTTGTTGTGTAGAAATTTTAAAGTTCAATGTATTATTACTTAATTATCAGTTATTAAATTTGAATATCAACTGCTATTTAGACCCTTATTACTCTAAAATATTCTTATTTTGAAGACTATTAAACGTGGGAGTGTGGGATTTCTCTTACAGTAATTTCATATTTGTGAAGAAGTTCGAGTAAGTTTCAACAAATTCTTCCTTGTTAATGTACAGAATTTGATCCTTTATTATATCACCTTATACTGTTCTGTATGATCCACATCGTTAAGTAACTGCTGCCTGCTAGCAAATATCAACAAGAAAATACATGTCCAGATGTCAGAGTTTCTCAGCCTCAGTGCCACAGACATTTTGGACAAGATATTTCTTTGTCGTGGGGCTGTCCTCTATATTTTAGGATGTTTAGCGGCATCCCTGGGCTCTACCTACTAGATACCAGTAGGAACGTCAAGTCAGTAAAAATCAAAAATGTTTCCAGACATTTCCCAAAATTCCCTGTGGACAAAAATCACCCCCCGTTGAGAGCCCCTGCCATATTTTATGCATAAGGATTTAAAATGTTTCTTTTTGGAGTCATGGGAACATGAAAATTTTCTACCAATATCCTTTCTTTCTCTCACTCTGATATTACTGATTACAAATCTTTCCGGTCTAATAAATCTTTAAATGTAAGGGGGGAAAATGGTCTGAATTAGTACAAAGATCCACATTGCTGTGCAATTAGAGTTCTAATTGGGAAATTACCCTTTGGTTTCTTCAACAATTCATTCAGTAAATTAGAAGCTAGCTCTATCTTTCTTAATAACTCTATATGACATTTTCTTTCTTTAAAGTTTGCTCTCCCTCCTCTAAACTATAACAGGGAGCAGAAACTGCACATGATTCACAAGAAAAAATCTAGGCCTGAGAAAAGCATAGGGAAATTGAAACTATTAGACACATTTTTTTGTCTGCTGCATTGCAATCTTATTTAATCAATTGAATTATTTCCCTAAGCTACTAAGTTAATATACATAATAACCCTAAAATGGAGAAACAAAGAGTATGTGTGTAATTGAAAAGCCAAAGTATGGGCTTTGGAGTAGTAGTGATGGATTCCCTCATGATTAAATTGTAGATTAATAGAATCCACGGAATACACTTTTTTCTCTTAGTTCATATAATTATAGAGAAATGTGAAGATGAGTAAGTCTTTCTTTTGATCAAATGGTACCTTGCCAGGGAAGCTATGAAGAGTGACAACTCCTAAGTCCCTACCTAACAGTTGCTTTGGATCTTCCTTACACCAGTAGTTAAACAGATTTCAGCTTTATATTTCATCTGGCCAATGTGCTGGGGAAATGGAATTTTCTTTTCTTTTTTTTTTTTTCAACTAGTCATCCTGTTTAATTTAAAACAGATTTTTTTGAACTGCTAGTTTCGATGTAAAGGCTTCACCATTTGCATTGGGGGATGCACTGAGATTCTGTTGATCATGGAGGGTAAGGGGCAGGAAGGCAAAAAGAAGAAAATATTTTTCCTTGATTATCTTGTTTCAGCGTTGGACTGGATTCCTTTATCAGGAAGTGCTGGTAGGTTAGAGAACTGTGGGTGCTCATCATAATAAGCTGCTACAAATAGACCACAGCTATCTCTACAGCTTTTTACAATTTTACTTGAGAAAGAAAAATATGTGTGATTTCATTTCAGATGTATTATGCAAAAGACCTTTTAAGTGAGAGTAAGAGTCTTAGAAAATGCTGAGAAGTGTTCAGTAGAGCACATTATAAGAACTGGTGTTAGTGTCCATCTCTTAAAGGATTCTGGTGAGTTGAATAGGCTTTCCCTTTTCTAGAAAAGCATGGTACATCAAAATGTGCTCCACCCGCAGGAGAAATAGCCACACCGCCTGAGGAATGTAGGCATTCTATTCTCATTGCTGGGGACAATGACAAATCCTTAACACCTTTGCCTGCCAGGGTGTAACCTAGTCTCACACTGTGAGACTGAAAATCTTTTGACTCTCCTAGGGTAAAACTCATTTGGCCAATTGATTTTAATCAGGGGTGACTTAGAATGCCAGATTGGCATAGTATGGCACCATTTACAAGTTAGACAATTAAATGGTAATTTCCTGAGTGTTAACTGCAAAGCATGGAAGTTAAATGTACTTAATGTACTTCAAAGTAACACACCACTGTTAAATTGTTCTGTTTCATTGTGCACTTACAAAATATTTGATAGGTGCTTCATATCACTACTGTTGTGAGTTCAGAATTCAGAAATGGTTATTAATAAAAGAGGGTTTTCAGGAGAAAAGGGGACCTGATTCCCTCCAATATCATTGAAAGGTCAACCTTTGTTTCTGTTTGACAGGTCAACATGGTGATTGGCATTTTGGTATTTAATAAACTTGTTTCCAGAGATGGGATCCTAGATAAAAAGCTCAAACACAGAGCCGGGTAAGCTGCAATTGGTGGATTTTGAAGGTTCTTTACCAGTGAATCCCATACTCCAATTCCAGATCATCACTGACTGCATTTTAACTGTGCCTTGAATTTTGTTCCTGATGAACCAGCACGTCTGGTAGATTCTGCCATTCAAGTTTTCAATGTGCAGTTCTTAAATAATGCGACCAATATCTAAAAATAATTTCAAAGACCATTAAGAAAGTCTCGATTTGCTTGTGCATATTGCCTGTTTGTAAGATAAGAAGATTAAATGTTAAGGCTGGACTTAAAATACTTGTTATTTTTTTTTCAAGTTTTTATTTAAATTCTAGTTAGTTAACATACAGTGTAATATTGGTTTCAGGAGTAGAATTTAACGATTCATCACTTGCATATAACACCCAGTGCTCATCACAACAAGTGCCCTCCTTAATGCCCATCACCCAGTTAGCCCATCCCCCACCCACCTCCCCTCCAGCAACCCTCAGTTTGTTCTCAATAGGAGTCTCTTAGGGTTTGCCCCCCCTCTTTTTTTTTCCTTCCTTTCCCTGTGTCCATTTGTTTTGTTTCTTAAATTCCACATATGAGTGAATTAGTATGTCTTTCTGACTTAGTTCGCTTAGTGTAATACACTCTAGCTCCATCCATGTCGTTGGAAATGGCAAGAGTGCATTCTTTTTCATAACTAAGTAATATTCCACTGTGTGTGTGTGTGTGTGTGTGTGTGTGTGTGTGTGTGTGTGTGTCTTCTTTATCCATTCATCGGTTGATGGACATTTGGGCTCTTTCCATAATTTGGTTCTTGTTCACAACGCTGCTTTAAACATTGGGTGCATGTGCCCCTTTGAATCAGTACAAAAATTCTTATTCTTAGGTGAGCAAGGCCCCCTAGTTTGGTTCAGAAAGGACAGGATGGTAGACTGAACACGTCAGTGTGTGACACAACTGGATTGAGACAAGCAAGCTAGACTAGGGCAAAAACATGACATTTTCTTTGATTAATCGTATATTTCAGAAAATTTCTTCACATGAAATAATCACTTATGAAACACCATTCTTGTCATATATTTTCATTCTTTATGATGTTTTGACTATAACTTGCCAGAAAGACTTATTCATAATTTTCACTTGCACATTTTAACCACTTATAAAATTTAGAGAAGCATCTCTTTTAATTTTACTGTCATTATGATATCACCACATTTAATGAATAATAACATTTCATAAGCAGGTTGATAGCAGCTTTGTAAGGTTACATGCTCACCTCATCATATAAATTTGTAGAAATTTGAATGAAATATTAATGCTTTTGAATTTCCCTTTGTATCTTTTCTTATGAAAACTTCATAGTTTTATCCTTTCTATTTGATTGTACTTTCATTCAAAACTTACCTACAAGGGGCGCCTGGGTGGCTCAGATGGTTGAGCGTCTGCCTTTGGCTCAGGTCGTGATCCCAGGGTCCTGGGATCGAGTCCCGCGTCGGGCTCCTTGCTCCTTGGGGGCCTGCTTCTCCCTCTGCCTCTCTCTCTCTCTCTGTCTCTCATGAATAAATAAATAAAAATCTTTAAAAAAAATCTTTAAAAAAAAAACTTACCTACAGTTGTTATTTCTTTAATAACTTATGTTACTATTTAATAGTCACAGTATTTGATCACTGACCAGTGAGAATTTTAAGTCCTTTATGTTTCTGTAATCTATGTAATGATTTATATGGTAAGGTAATCTAGGTATTATTCCTCCTAGTAAAAGACTAGTAAAATGCTTTGAATATAAAAATTTGATATCATTCATATCAAGCTTTAGAACTGCAGTGGTGTAATAACATCATTGGAAGTTCTTTCCAAAGAGGGGCATCACTTCCCACCTAGAGACTTTTTTTCACTTCAGGTGGGTCTTCATAGCATCTTTAACTAGGTAAACTTGAACTTGCACAGACACTGAGCTTTCTATACCATTTGAACTTGAAGCTTTTACACTCTTATTCTTGTTAGTCTGCCATGTATGGTTGGAATTGGAACAACAGCTTCAGTATTTCTGTCCAGATTAATCATCTAAGAATAAATCGATCATACTGAATATGGGGTATAAAATCTCGGTTCTGCCATTAATGGCATAAACTCGTGTGTCTGTGTACACACACACACACACACACACACACACATATATCTTTTATTAATTGGAGGGGTGGAGGTTTATTGGTTAGGATAAAGATTTGAAGTAAAAAATATTTTTGAACAAAGCCATGCTCGATATCTAGCTCTGCAATTTACTGGCTATGTGTGTCTTTGGGCATGTTATTTAGTTATTTTGGAGTTCAGTCTTCTCACCTGTAAAATGGGGATAATGATTTTTGCCTCAGAGTATATGAAATATAATGTGTACAGAGGATTCATTAGAATAGCAAATAGCAAACACTCATTCAACAAATGGTGGCTATTGTTATGATGCATTAAATGAAGAAAATAGATTGTTTTCAAATGACCCTGACTTCTATCAGTCAAGCATCTGTGATTCTGCCATTCATGACATTACGGTCAAAAATAAAGAGATGGGATCATCAGAATGAGTATAATGCTAAGGATGTATTAAATTTACCGTCAGTATTTTTTTCTCATTTAGTCATTTTTAAATGTAATATCCAGTTTGATTTACATAGCTCTTTGTAAAAGATAACATACATTTAAGAGAATGACAAAATTGTCACATTATGAATTTAGAAGTTATCCACTTTAATCTACATATTAATTTTAAAATATCTATTTATGAAAATATTATTAGAAGTTACATCTGTTTTACTGGCAAAATTGAGTCTGTGTTTTTCTAGTTCAAAGGCTTCCATTGGAGAAATAGAAATGTTTTCAATATGTGTTACAAAAACAGAATGCTGGTTACTATTCAAAGTGGGAAAGAATTATCAACAAGTTAATGATTCTAGGTTTTAAGAACTTTTTTCTATAATATAAAATGCAGTTTTTGCCTAAGTGTGTATAGATTGAAATTTGCTATTTCCAAGTGTGATTGAAGGAAATTTTGTAGAAGATGAAGTATCTGAAGCTAATTTTAGTTCACGGAGAATCAGTGAGGACAGTCATAAAGATTTCAGTGAACAACAAATAATCAGAATTAACTGAAGAAACACTGAGCAAGAAGCTAATTAACAACTGATGTTCCTAATTATAAATATTGACCATTTCACGTTGAAAATATCTAGATATCAAGTGTCTTTTGAAATATTAGTATTTAGAACCAGTATGTTCCTATTCCCATTTTATTGTTCCTGTTTCCTCCTTTTTATAATTATTAGAAACTGCCAAGCAATAGTTTATGTTCAATAAATATTTATAAAAGAATGAGTAAATTAATATTTAAGAAATATACAATACCTTGACAAGTTTTATAATACCCAAATTAAAGTTTTTCTTTTTTTTTAAGATTTTATTTATTTATTTGACAGAGAGAGACATGGCGAGAGTGGGAACACAAGCAGGGGGAGTGGGAGAGGGAGAAGCAGGCTTCCCGTGGAGCAGGGAGCCTGATGCGGGGCTCAATCCCAGGACCCTGGGATCACGACCTGAGCCAAAGGCAGACGCTTAACGACTGAGCCACCCAGGTGCCCCTATTAAACTTTTTCTAATAAATGACATTTATTTACCAAAGAGGGATTGATTGCCATTAATACATCTTATGCAAAATAATTGGAAAAAATGAAAAGATAAAATGGCATGTTTATTCAAATATGAATATTTTCCTTGTTAACAAATATCTCAGGCAGGTTATTTCATTTTTTTTTCTCTTTTTTTACAATGGAACTTTCTTATCTACTATTTTAAATTGCTTTATCTCATCTACCTGAAGTTAAGGAAACTACCAGGGTCTTATACAGATATCGTGAGATTTTTTCCAAAGGGAAAGGGAGTATTTTCTTTTCAGGGGATTTTACCTAGTATCAATAATGAGCCAATCAGATAATTTTTTTTTTTTTCTAAGCAAAAGAAGAAGAAAATTGGGAAGGGAAGCCTGTAGACTCCAAGACCCTGCAGGAGTAGACAGAATAACCTGGTGCCCTGGTAGATATGGTAACATTTGAACTTATGGGAAATTCAGTTTTTTTAACTGTTAGCACTTTTTATTTTATAGATATATAATTTCCCCTGTAACAAAGAAATAAAATTTTATTTCCCATTGCAGCAACCCTGTTTAGCATTTAGACTGTGTGTTCTTCATACTATATTAATTTCTGTAGCGGTCATACAAACTAGGGGAGAATATCCTATCTCCCTTGGTAACCTGTCTTTCCTCTGCTCCATATACATTAATAATAGAATTCCAAAAGTGTCCAACCAGTTAACATCAAGCATAGTTTTCAACAGTTAGTTCTGACTAAGGGAAGTATGTATAGGCCTTTTAGTCAATCACAAATCAATCTTAAAGAAGCATTTCAAATACTGGCTTAGTATTTATTTTCAGGAAAGCCCATACCTAGATCAAATTTGTTTTTCTTAGGCCTAAAATACTTGTTTATATTGTGTACTAAACTAAAATTAATTTTTAGTCATCTTTGGCTTTTCAGTCTTGTTTTAGAGCCTAGAGACAGTGTCCTTAAATTAAGAAAGATAGCCACATTTGTGTTCAAAGCGCAAATACCAAATTGCATATCTTCTCTGATAAAGGAAACAGTAGATCAGTCATGCCTTTTTAATATTAATCTGATGGAGCTTAACAGAATTGAAGATACTCAAATATATAGTTAGGGCAGTTGTGTACATTCCTGCTTTTCATCAGAATAATCTCTGGGGCTTTAAAAAACACAGATGCCTGGGGCAGCTACGTGGCTCAGTCGGTTAAGCACCCGATTCTTGGTTTCAGCCCAGGTCATGATCTCAGAGTCTGAAGATTGAGCCCCGCGGTGGACTCCAGTGGAGTCTGCTTGAGATTCTCTTACTCTCCCCCTCCCCCTTTGCCCCTACCTGCCCCTTTCAAATAAATAAATAAATATCTTAAAAAAAAAAAAAAGGCACAGATGCCTAAGCCCCACTGAATTGGAGTCTTTGGGGTTGGTTATATATATTGATATGCAGCCACTGTGGAGAACACTGCTGTAAATAGGCACTCTTTTGGGAATAGTTTCAGACACACTGGCGTGTCAATTGAGGCACTCATGATCCAACTGGATAGACTGTTGCTTGCTTGTTATTGTGAAAAGTTTGGTCTCATGTGCTAGGACATAGGTCCTGGGTTGAATCAGTAAAATGAATGATTTAGTATCATGTTTCCCACCCCCACATCGAACTCTAAAAGCTTTGATTTTTCTCCTGGGGTCTACTGGTCAATCAATCTACTTAATAGCTTTCAGATTTATTATTTCATCCAAGCACTATTCACAAATGAGTGCACTTCTTTAGAAGAAACCAGACATTCTGAATTATGATCATCTTGTGATTTTTTTCTGTCCTGCCACTTTTATTATATACCTGTCCACTAAATATTATTTTGAAAAAGCCTACTGGGAAAACATATATTTTAGACATTAGCACCACAAGAGAATGGACAAGAGAAGTATACCACAGAAAATTATTTCAAGATGTTTTGAACTTTGATTCAAGTAATTTCTTTTTGGTTTTTCATGAGAGAATTATGTTCTAATAAACCAGTCATTTTCAAGGGACTCTTTTCTAATGTAAAAGGTGTACAAAGTTTTTCTGTGTAGCATGACTTCGCTTCTATGATATAGTAGGTTAAATCTGAGTTGCTTGAATCTAAATTTACCTGCAAAATCCTCCAGGCTAGAATAGACCACGTAAATGCTGTTGGATTGGAGTTTATGAAAAAAATGTTCAGAAAGAATATTTTGAACTTAATGTTAAATGTGTTTTATTAAAGCATTAAACTATCACCCCTCTTATTATAAACTAATATTTCATCAAATTTCATCAGCCCCTATATTCAGATCATCCTAAAATGTGGATAATACATTGATGCTGTGAGAAATTTCAAAATATGAATCTGTTGAGATAAAGGCTACACCGCCCACAAATGATTAAACACCTAAAATATATATCTTCCTGTATTGGACTTCTGATATACATGTTTACATTTCAGAAGGTTTCAACCAATATCATGTGCCTTCTGCAAATGACAATGAAAATCTTTGAAGCTAGGAGTCCTGATGTGTTTGATAATCAGGGGTCTGAATAAAGGGTTTTCACTGTATGTCTACACAAGCACATGCTTATGTTGAACTCAGTGTACTGGACAATTTTGAACTGTAGACGCCGGGCCATTTATGAAGTAATTGATGGAAATATGCTTTTGCATGCAACAAAGGCCCATCGTATTAAAAGGTAAATGTTACAAAAATAATGTGTAGTGTAATTGCATCTTTAAAACAACCTAGAGCATTCATCTTTGATAAATAAACTTTTCTGCATGAAATCGTATTTAAAAGCTAACTTGCAGCAGCAACATGTTTTTTTTTTGGTGACAATTCAATATTTTGTTCTTTTTGTGGGTGTTCTGTTTGTTTGCAGTCAGATGAGTGAGCCTCATAGCGGTTTGACGCTCAAATGTGCCAAGTGTGGAGTAGTTTCGACAACAGCTTTGTCAGCCACCACCGCCAGTAACGCCATGTTAGTCCCGATCATTTACATCTTCTCGTTACAAATCTTTTACAGTGCATGTGAGAAAATGCTATTGTGGAAAAAAAAATCATGTTTGCTACTATTGGAGCTAAGAGCATACTTAACTATTTATAATTGGCAACTGCCTTTATAACTAGTGTGGGATTTGCTATAAAAAAAATAAATAAAACTATCCAATGTTATCTGCTTTATGGTTTCCAAGTGAACGGTCTTGGTGCCACATCCAAGAATGCTTTGTTGAACGGGGGTTTAGTTATTGCCTGGGGCGTGACGCACAGCTCCGTCACAGTGCTCTCGCTGTCTCTCAACAGGGCGTCTCTTTGGAGTTCCTGCGTGGTGTTGCCCCTTCTGGCTCTGACATGGATGTCTGCAGTTCTAGCCATGACAGACAAACGCTCCATATTGTTCCAAATACTTTTTGCCGTGTTTGATTCATTGCAAGGTTTTGTGATAGTCATGGTCCACTGCATTCTTCGGAGAGAGGTAAGAAAGAGAATTCCTCTGGCAGAGAGGGATGATGGTTAGATGCATATTTTCCTTGTTAACAAATAGGATCTTTTATTTTAATATCTTCAGATTAAAATCATCTCCTCTAAAGACAATCATTGGAAAGTCAAAGCTAAAGGGGAAGCTTTAAGGCAAAGTTCAAGAGGGCTCTTTGGACGCTGAAAGTGACAGTTAAAACAGATGGGACTGTGCAAGAGAAGATGTTTCCCGGGGGGGGGGGGGGGGTGCTCCCAGGCACCAGGGAGAGTAGAGTCAAGAGAGGTCATAGGTGGAGAGAAGTCTGTTAGAGACACTGGTGGATAAGGGGGCAGGGTGGCATATTTTTTAAGAGGCATAGTTCATAAACATAATGATATCTCTTAAACCCATTCCCAAATTCCTGCTTCTGCACACAGCATATCCCCATTCCTTCATACTTAACTAACTTCATTTTAGATAGAAAATGTTGAAGATTGCTCCATGGTTCTTGTGTCTCTATACTAAATTAAGGTTGCTAAAGGTGAATGATTTTGAGATGGATGTTTATACTTAGAAAATACAAAAAAAAAATGTACACAATGGAACACGAAAGGCAGTAATTGTCCCCAGAACTATAGATCTATAATCACAGCATTTCTCCAGGTCATGGTTGAGGTTTATTTGTCAGCAGTGAGGAAAACAAGTCCTCTTTCATGCGTTGAGACACTAACCTGCGCCAAATCCACTGATCGGTGATAGACCTTGGATGTGAGTTGTTTAGCAAGAAAATATTGTTTTCCAAGCAGTGCAAAAATTATGCTGAGTTCTTGCAAGCACTGACACAGTGTTTACAAGGTTTATGAGTCATTTTCGTGTTTACTCTGGGGACAGTGGCGACTAAAACACAATGACACAGTGCCATGCTAGTAATTTTGAGGAAATAGTCTACACTGTCATTTCGCATTATACAGCTTGTTTGAGAACTTTATCATGATGTGCACATTGCAGAAAGACTCATGTGCATATGACTGCACACCACACAGTTTTTACAGGGATATGTGAAGGTAACCAAAGGTTTTTACCTGATTTACCAGATGGGAAGAACAATATTTCTGAGCTACTTCAGTAAGGTACAGATGTCAGCAATAAACCCACATGTGTATTCTAAGAACATTATATGATGAAAAGAAGAGTGACTTCACATTGCAAAGGAGGCAATATTTCATCATCTAAAAATCTGATTTAGCTTAGAGTTGCCAAGCCTTTTAATTCCCTCATCACAAATGTCTACCTAGAATATCCTATCTCTAAATAAGCCTCTCTTTTTCTTCAGAAACAAGCTTTGGAGATAGCCCTAGGCTATGTTAAAAATATTCAGGTCTTAAAGTGACAGATATTTTGATGGCTTACTATCAAATTTTTGTTGCTTACATGAAGAAAAATATTTGGCACAAAAATTTATTTCCATCAGAACTTTTCCATACTTGCTAATTGGACTGGTAACTGTCAAAAACATGATTTAAGGGTAATTAAATCAAATCATATAATAAATGCTTCTGCTAAAATAGATACCTGTAAGTATATGTTTTCTGTTTTAATAGGGAGTAAAAATATGAATATTGGCCCTGTTATTATTGCATTTTCAATGATTAGTTCAAATTGAATAGTTTTATAGCTGATAAATTAATAGCGGAGTGTCATCACTCTCATTCCAAAACTGAAATGAAAAACCACATATCCATTATTTTTGCATTGACCTTAATACACTGCTGTAAGTACACAGAGCAGATGTCAGTTACAGGGCAAGTCTCTTTCAGAATTTCTCAAAGGAAGTTTTTACTGAAAGACCAAGAGAACCTTGTTTAAAAGGCTTTTGCAAATCCCAAGGACCACATCATAAGAAGGCCTCACCGGGTTCAGAGGAACTCTTTTTGACCTTCTAACTGCATATCGCCTAGCATACCAGCAATAGGTCTATTTCATATTACCTGTGATCACACTGCACTAACATTAACCACAGTCCAAGAGAATAGGAGCATCTTCCCATATCCTTAGTGTCTCCTGTGAACAGACGTTCCATAAAAATACACCAAAGCAAATGGTCTAGATAGCTACCTATAAAATACTGGGTAATGACTCCTATCAGACTACCTGATAATCCCATAGGAGATTTTAGGAATACAATTTTACTTCTACTGCTTTTTTCACTTTAAAATATTTTTCACAATAACCCAAGATGATTTGTATGGATTTTTCTTTATTAAAAATGTATAAGCAGTGTAAGAAGTATTTCCTTCGATTTAGAGAGAGACTGGATACAAATATACATATTTTTATTTCTGTGTATTTTTGACATGCAGTAACATAATTTGGTCATTTGTAGTCTTTAATGATTTTTCCAATATGAATTCAAAAGCCTTTTCCTATATTTACTTTTGCAATCTTCTGTGAAGGAGGTAGGTGTACACAGGGGAGGAATATAGCCTTGCAGTTAAAGGAGAAAAGAAATAGTATAACTGGCATTTTAAATGTGATGTGTATGGGGCTTGATTTATTCTAAATGTGCCTTTGCTTTTAGTGGATCCAATTTTAAAACCAAATCATTTCAAGTCAGAAGGGAAGGGAGAAATGATCACTTTGGTTCTGCCAACTCAAATATATTCCACATTAAAAAAAAAGGCAAATTGATTATTTGCATAACAATTTGTTGTGACCTCCAGATTGACATCTCAATATTTAAATTTCATAAAATTTGTATTCTTGAAAATACAGTTTCGTCTTCTGAAGCAATTCTATCTGTTGAATTGCTTTAGTAGATGCCTCTGACAAAAGAGAAAACAAAAAGAGGGAATAAGAAGAAAAATTAAACCAAATGATTTATCACACATTAATTTCAGCAACAAAACATAGATCCTGGAAGCTAATATGTATAATACCTAATAAGACAGAATCTAATAGAATAAATATAGTTGCTTCCTTCATTTATTCATCATTCCTTGATTAGAATTCATTTGCATTAAGCACATAACGACATCTACTATTTACTATTCTCCACATTGCTATGGAAATTCAAGCTACACAAGTTATGAAACCTTTGAAATACTTACTGTTGCTAGGAAACCGCTTTCTTGGTGCCTGCACATTCTTCTCATCTCTCCTGTCTCTGGCTGTGCCTGGCTGTAAGACAATCTTACAGCTTAATGTCAGAGGGGGAAAATAACAAGATTGTGATACAAAATAAGCTACAATAAAACCCTTTCACTAAATGGAAGGAAAGAGGCAAGTGCTTAAATAGATGACTTTGTTGTGTCAGTATGTGAGGGTCCTGCGGCTGCCCTGGAGTGGCAGTAAGAAGCGCCACGCTCCCCTTTTCTCTTTCCCCAGCACAGGCAGGAGGTCTAGGCTGCACCAGATGAGGTCCCAGAATCTTCATCCAAACCCAGGAAGCAATTTTGTAACAAAGCGCTTGAAATAAACATTTTTCTCTTTCTTTCATTCTTTCTTTCCCTCCTTCTCTCTTCCTCTTATTCCCCTCTGCCTTTTTTTTTTCCTTCCAGTTTCCAATTTGGTCTTATTTCCGTAAAGAATACAGACAAAATGATTTACAAGCACATGACTGTGAATATATAAAACAGACAAACATCCTTACGGATCTCATCTAAAACCAGTATTCTCCCCCAATCATTAAAAAAATAAATGAAACCAATAGCGGCGAAATAACTAGAGAGCAATTTGAAAAGAGGTCATACTGCATATAATATAGTTCAGATGGAGAGTTGCATGAATCTCCCCAAGCCTGACTATTTACAGGGAAATTAGGTATGACTCATTATTACGGAAGCGCTTTCGGAAGTGCTTATCTGTGCACTCTCTTAATGAGAGAGGGCAGGAGTTTCAGTTAGTCTTTGGAGATGAGGGAGTGGGTGATAGGAGACTTCAGAATGCAATGGGTCCTGAGCAGAAAAACACGGTCAGAGGATTAAGGAAGTGAAAGTTTCGAATAAGGGAAGATGGAGAGAGATGACTAGGCATGTGGTTTCCATGGAATGGAGCCTATGGTGAATATAGAGTAGTCTTCTCTGGGACCATCTGGGGTACATGGAGGCATAAAGCAAGTGATGTGATCCTAGACACTCGTGTGGTTTAAAAAAAAATTGTTATAACTGTAACCCCAAGAGAAAGACAGTACTGACAACATTTGAGTGCATAGCATTGATTAAGTGATGTTTTTAAAGCTTTCTCATTGGGGTGTTCAGTGGTCATGGTAAGAGGCCACTGTATGTCAAGTCATGAAGAAGTTCAATAGATTTCATAGAGTTAGTGAATGGTCCAGGGTAGGAGGGTCAGGGTACCACTAATTCTGAGATTCTCAGCTTGCTCAGAAGGACAAAGATTTAAGGGAGAAGGGAGTGCGTTGCTAAGAGCCTTCTCTTTGTCAGGCCGAATTGAAGGTTCAAGAAGAAATACATTTAAAGACCATTTTGAGCATTGCGTTTGTTTTCTGGGAATGGGAGAATGGCTCAAGGTACTGCAATGAAGCTGGATTTTATCAGAACAGAGAATGGAAAAGCACAAAGCCTGCCTTTAAATAGGAACATGGATGTGACATAAGCGAGGATCGTATGCTTCTCTTCCTATATACTTATTCCCAGAAATCACCTCCCTTATTCCAGTTTTTATAAATCCTACCTCTCCCTCCAGATTAGGCGTTCCTGACCTGAGCATAATTACAATTATATTGTGAATATTTTCATCAGTCTTAATCAGCATCTGTGAACAAATTGAGACACAGAGTTCGTGGCAGAGAGTGGCAAACTCAATCCAACCATGGCTTGCTTTACCTAAAATTCTTCTGAGTATCTGGCCAAAAAGATAGGCAAATCCCACTTCCCACTCCTTCCGGTTCCCTGAGATCCCACCTTGCAACATTGTTAAACTGGTGGCAAAAGTTGAATATGTCTAGAATAGAGGTTTAAAATAAATATAAGAATAGAGGTCATGAATTAATTTTTTATTTCCTGCCTTGAAGTGGATGGCTTGAGACTAAAATGAAGTATCTTCTGTGAGGGCCTAAGTGGGGGTGTCTGACCTAGAACTTCCCTTCCTCCTTTTCTCATGTGCATGCTAAAGAAATGGTATTACATTTTTTCAGATCATATATGTGAAATGTCCTCTAGGGAAGCTTACTGTTACCCCCCCAAACTGATACAAAGCAAGGTAGAAAGCTACAACAAGTTTGAGGGTGATAGGTCCTTTAGATGTTAAAAGATTCCAGGAGAAAGTCACTAGGACTGAAATGTAGGAGTAAAGTCCATATTTTTCCTTCCATGTAAAGCAAAGGACAAACCATTTTTATTTCTTTTGCTATCAGAGAAGTCATGTAATACTTTCGTAATGTGAAGTCGTTTGTGTTATATGTGCGTTGGCATAACACACATGAAACTGAGAATAATCTTACTGGTTCATTTAATGATTAAATTATATGGAATTTAATATGATTAAAAAGAGCTGAGTCATTTATTTAATATGAATCGATAGAAACAATGGTAGACATTAGATCCAGGACAAAAAAGAGAATGCATAAGAAATTCCCCCCCCACCAAGCTAACAATCTCAAATAATTATAAGAATGCAACTTAATTTCTTTGCTTGTCTTCAAATGATCCTCTGGAATAGAAAATCAAGAATAACTGCAGGTAGAACTGTCTTCTTAAAAGGTAAAGATTTGGGGGTCTGAGCTGTTTGGTAGCTAAATACAGAGCCCATTTCCAGCAGTGCGTCTCTTTCCCGTGAGGTTTCTCTCCATTGCAGAGCTGCCAAGCGTTGCTTGGTGCTCTTCCCCAGCAATCTCTAAATCTGGCTGCAGCTTTCACAGTGACACTGCGAGCTGCCTTCAGAGTGAGGACCAGCCGAGAAGCTCTGGGCTTGCTGCTCCTGAGAGGAACCAGATCCCTCTCCTGTGGGGGGAAATTGAAGCAAGACACACACCGGCAAACTTGTTTGAATTCATTCCTCACCCAGGAAACCATCCACAATAAAAGGATGTATGGCTTTGCAGGGGTTTTTAGAGCAGCCCCCAGCAGGAACTAGACAGGATAACTTTGGTGGTGCCCCTGATGGATACTTTCAGAAGACAACCTTGATAGCTTATTCTTTTTACCTCACCTTATTTTTGAAGATGTCTCTTGACTTTCTTTTTTTCATTTCACAACAGGACATCAGATTTCCTTAAAGTGCCCTAAATACTCCAAGGCTGTTTACATACATGTTCTTTGCTACTCCCCCAGTACTTTTTAACCCTCTGTCTGTCAATTAAGGTTAAAGACCTAATGGGAGAGTATTTTAAAAAGAGGACATTTTGGAGGCTAGATTTTAATTGTGCCATAATATGTCAAACATTTAATTATTCAAGACAAGTTTAAAAATTGTATTTACTGGTCTTGTGTAAGCTTTAAAAAATGATAATATTGCAAGAACTTGGAGTTATGTAAAAATTTTTTTAATTAAATTATTACCGAAAATGAGTGGCTTGTTCCCCACAAGTAGTAAGTCAGGTGAAGGAGTTTAAAGGATAAATATGTGGATCTTCTAACAATTGTTTTTCTTCAATCTTAACCACAAGGCAAGAAATACCAAAACTGTTATTGTCCTGCACTATAAATATGACAGTTGGCACAGAAGATTTTAATATCGGGATGGAATAGCCAAATATAGATTCTGTCTTTGTTTTTTATGCTTTCTTCTTGTCTAGATTAAGGTCCTCATAGACTTGCCTTTTAAAAAATTCCAGTTTTTCTCCATTAGTACAATCTCCATGAGTACAATTGATTCACCAAAGATAAAAGTCTTTTTGTTTACTTGATAGAAAATTCAATTAATTTTCAAAATGTTTCCAAATAGCTGCAGATATATTTTCCAGGTACTGTCACTCCTAAAACCCTTTTTTCTGTGATGAGGAATATGCATTACGAAATCTAGCCTCATCATTCCTCCCTGACAGTGTTGGACAAATATTTAAGGCTAACTCATCTAGATTGCCTGAACGCATTTTTAAGATTTTGTAAAAATCAAACAGAGCATTTGGAATCAAGCAGAATTTCTCCTGCAAAGCTTTCTGAATTAGAAGTAACAGAAGCACTGAAAGTGTCAGAGAATCTAGCACTTAAATTATTGCATTTATATGACCATTAAAATGACTTTGAATTTACTGGAGAATTTTTATGCTTTTCTGTTTTATGTTTCTTCCAAATAGCATTGACTGATTGACAAAGCTGACATCATTCTCCAGGGTAGAAATGCCCTTAATCCATTGTCATATTTGAGAATTTGGTAATTTAAAGGATTGATTTTGTGTGTGTATGTTATAAAAAAAGGGTAGATTTCTTTTATATCTCCTTCAAGCGATCAGATAGTGGATTTTAAAGAGAAACTTAGCAGAAGTTGCTTTTCCATATTTCATTTCCACATATCATTCATTCCATATTTCATTCATTCATATTTCATTCCATATTTCATTGTCACACAAAAATATCTTTGATGGCTAGACTCTGAAGGTCTGAAAATAGAGTGGTTAGCGTGGACCAGTTAAATTAATGTTTGGTATTACCAAGTGCCACTTTCATGTGTTATATATGCTAGTATTTAGAGATAGATTTGAAAAAAAATTTCTTGTGACAAGCTCCTGGAAGGCAATATTTCTAACATATGATTTATCTACCTTTATAAATTGTACTACTTGAACAGTTGCTTTGGGGCACAAACAGAAAATTAGCACATACCTATTTTTCTGAGGTTGGTTCTTTGGATTTTTTTTCTTTTTTCTGAAAACAGATACTGTTTTTCCCCAGTGCAAATTTCTGTGTAGGAAACAGTGATCATCTGGCAAATACTAGACTCATTACTGATTTTTGATTATTAATGTGTCACTCTATGACTTACAGCTATGACTTCTTAACCTAAAAAGGAGGATCCTTAAAGCATTTGCATTTAAAGAATCTAACATTTCCCATGTCATGTCTCCTTCAGGGGAGAAGCTAGATGATTTAGTTCTAAATATTTATCCAGTTCTTCAGGAAAAGATGATGAGACTAGATTTCCCTTCGCCCATACCTGTACTGAGGTGTTTGAAGGAGGAAAGAAGAAATTACCTTGTTCATTGAAAGCAGACAACTCCTCGCACTTTTTTCCCAGTAAATCTCAGATTTAGGTATATTAGAATTAGAGGATAGAAAAGAAGTCAGAGAGCACTGAGTCCATTCCCCACTCCCTAAATTCACAGCCATAGTGACTGCATCACCAGGATTCGAACCTGAGGTGGAGAAAAAGAAGTAGACAGAGGTCTCCTTATTGTACTGGTTGGCCAGGACTCTGGCGGTGACTAAACCCTTTGTCACTTCCCAAATCTTGCCGTGATGACTTAGGACATGGGTGAGAGGAGCTGAAAACAATAGGCTCAGTTTTCTTCCGGCCAATACGTATACTATACACATTTCACAGCAAAACAGTGACAGGATATTTCATCTGAGTGCTTTTCAGAAGTAAAGATCATTCATTGCGTGTTTACTTTGGTCCTCTGTGTGATGGCACTTTGGTAAAAGAGGGGATATGCAACATCATCTCTGCTTTATTTTGTAATCCAACAAAACAGATTATAATAAACTAGACAGAGAATATCAATCCTGTGAAGTCAAAAACAACAAAATACAAAAATGACCTTGCCATTGACTGGATAAGAAGCTACTTGTATTAATGTCTCTCAATAGCTTGTTAGGAGCCTAATGAGCCACAGGAAGTGGGAAGGACATGTTAATGGGAAGGCATCATGTGATCAGAATAACTATCAATTGATTTATGTGTTTGTTATTCATCGATTCATGTTTACTCGTTTAATAAAGGATTTAGTGTTCTTCAAATTTCCTTGTAATATGTATTTCTTTACTCAGAATCCAATTGTGAGTGTGTATTAAGGAAATTTGGCTTTGCAAAGTGATCTTTTTTTTTCTTCTTTTAAGACAACCAGAAAGAGTTGTTTTTGTTACCTTTTTGTTTCATTGTGCTTTGTTTTTACACCAAGGCACATGGTACTTGAATGGAGACAAGAAATAGTTGTCCCAAAATGATCCCAAATCAATTCCAGTCAAAAGATCATTGAGTAATCTCATTTCTGCAATGTTTAAAGCTATTATGAAGATTATGCCATATCAAATAGGAAATCCCTCTTGAAAGACATGCACATTGGTTATAACAGTGAAAATAAATCTGCCCTCTGGCAAGAATTACTGGTTTTTCAGCCAGACACAGCCCTGGTGAAAACTGAGGAGTTCCCAGCACTTCCCCCAATAGATTATGGCAAGTGATAGATGTCCTTTGCATAAAGTCCAGGGATACTGGTATATGTATTAAGAGGTAAGCAAAATGGGTATTAGATATGAAACAATGGTAGTTATCATTTCTCAGTTGATTGCCAATATAGACAGTATCTGGTCATTACCAAGAGAGAAGAAAATTAATGGGTTTCTCCCCCCTACAGGTTCAGGATGCATTTAGATGCCGATTGAGAAACTGTCAGGATCCGATCAATGCTGATTCTTCAAGTTCTTTTCCTAATGGGCATGCTCAAATAATGGTGAGCTTTTATTTTCCTTCCGACTCTTGATTAAGTAATGATTTGTGATGGGAGTAAACAAAATATTCTTACTACTAAAATGTATCCAAGTCCCATTTTGAGTGACTTTGGCTTTAGTTCATTAACAGATTTAGAGCTACCAGATAACCATTCTGTCTGAATTGCTTGGGAGTCCCGGGTCTGTTATGGGCTCCCTGGTGTGTTGAGTGGGGGGTTTCTATGCAACACCATAGTATTTTCATCCCTGCACAGAATGAGGGATAACAGTTTGTCCACAGGAACCTGTTTGTTTACAGACCAGAACACTATGGACCTGCGCTTCTGGTCGTAAAGCAATGGTTCTCAGCCTTGTCTGTGCATTAGAATCCACACTCCAGACCAGTGAAATCAGAAGGTCTGGGGGGGACCCCAGGTATTGGTGGTTCCAATATGCACCCTAAGATTAGAAACATTGCCCTAAGGCAGAAGGGCAGGGCCACAATTCCAATAAAAGGTCAGTCATTGTACATGAGTTCCGACTGGTGAGATTAAGGAGTCCTTTAGGCATAAGCACTTTGGTGTCTTTTAGAAATGAGATAAGATTTAAACTATGATTCATTAAAAGCAGGACTTAAATAGAGATTTCTTTTACCATATACTCAATTTATTATGAATGTTTTTGGATTAGACAACATAAAATAGTCAAAACGGTATACTAAAACTAAGACTTAAGAAGGAATTATCAATTCTATATTAAAACAAACAGATGAGGGGCGCCTGGGTGGCTCCATCGTTGGACGTCTGCCTTTGGCTCAGATCCTGGGATTGAGCCCCTCAATGGGCTCCCTGCTCCCTGCTCAGTGGGAAGCCTGCTTCTCCCTCTCTCACTCCCCCTGCTTGTGTTCCCTCTCTCCCTGTGTCTCTCTCTGTCAGGTAAATAAATAAAATCTTAAAAAAATTAAATAAAAAAAAACAGATGAATACTGAAATTTCTAATTTAAAACATTAAAATAAATTTTTAAAAATTCTAAATAATATCTTCCAGTATATGACTGGAAGAACTTGATTAAGATGGGCTAATTTAATTTTTCCATTTAAAAAAATTGATCTGTTTAAAAATATGGGGATGAAAGTGAACTCTAGCAGGTTGTAGGCCAGATTAGTATTATTTAATCTTTCAATTATAATTCCTAGATCTAAAAGGCTTTCGTCGATTTGAATGAAAATGGATCATTAGAAGAGCCTGGTCTGACTCTTAAGGGTTTGACAAAACTGTATTATAAAATACTACATTATACTACATTATAAACAATATATTCAAGGTGAATAAAAACAACAAAGACATTTATTTAAGTATGTTCATAATAATGCACATTCTTTTTTAGTGTGGTTTAGGGAATTGCCTTGAAACTCTATTCTTTTATATATGGTGTCAGTCTCCTCACTGAAGATGACAGTGGGTATTATATTGCCTTATTAAAATTGTATGCCACTTTTCCACTGCTTTAATTCAACATTCGGTGTCTAAGAAATAGGCTTGAAAATAATTTGATTACTCCTCAAGAAACTTGTTTTGCACAAAACAATAATCTAGTACTGCCTAGTCAGATATCTGTAAACTTTAGTTAATCTAGTTAGTAAAAGTCACTCGAGGTCTTCATTAAATGGTGATTCTGTACCTTATTATTTGTTGTTACAGACAGACTTTGAAAAGGATGTAGACATTGCTTGCCGATCAGGTAAGAATATTTGGATTTTGAAAATATCATTAGGGAAGTGAAATCACTTTTATGATTTTGATTTTAATGAGAATGCCACAGCTTACACATCACATATTCATGTGGATGAATAAATAGAATATGTCAAAGGGAAGTACTGTAATAGCAAAATGTGGTGGAGGGGGAGGGCGGGGGGTGAAGGGAGAATGACGACTGACAGAGAAACTAAGAATGGTTAATAAGAGGCACAGTGACAACAGAAAAGCATGGACTACGAGACATAAGACTTCCGCCCCACTGCTTCCTGGTTGTCAGGTCTAAGGCCAGTTTGGCCTCTTTGTGCCTCACTTCCACCATTGGTGGAATATAGGTTGTTGCAAGGATGAAATACGTTGTGTGCGTTTGTATGTATCATAGTTGCTGCCATTGCTACGTGCTTAGTGGGGCCCAGAAGACATCGTTTGGCGCTCTCTGCATTAGAGAGCTGGGGTCCCATGGACGGTGTCCCCAGTGCGTATCCTCAGCCTGGGGCTAAACTCTCACCAGGAGTCGATGACTCAGGAGTTTCAAAGGAAACTACATATTTCATTTTTTGGATAATTCCAGTTGCAGAGGTTTCTTTATGTTGGGATATATAATTTACCTTAGTTTACCTTGTATTCATTGACTTTAGTGCTGCCTTCTAAAATAAGAGTGCCTGTCTACTTCATCTAAATATCTAGATGTTTGGAAGCAAATCCTATTTAGTCCAGTCCAGGCCCTTTTTCTCCAGGCTAAACAAACCATGGCTCCTCATTCATTCCTCATAGCATCCTCCCTGGCAGGCACAGTGCCCACCTAGCCTCCAGTCTGTCAAGAGTTTTTAAATTATGGTGCCCAAACGTACACACTCCTTCAGCATTTCTCACAGTCGGCACTTTACTTGTATTAATGTTATCTACATTTGCATTTCATTTCATAGCAACTGGTACATTACTACTACTGTCAACTTGTTGTCATCTAAAATCCCTAAAACTTCTTGTAGTAGTTGTCAGCACTTGACTGGTAGAGGATTAGGTAAAGGTTCTGGGTTTTTTCTTTGAAGAAAAATCTGACCTTGCATTTATCTCTATTTGTGATTTTGCTAGTTTCAGGTTAGCCTTCTATGCATTTGAAATTTTTTGGCCATTGAAAGATTGATGAGAATACCTTCTAGATATTTACTCAAACTGTCAGTCAAGGGATTGGATAGGAGAATGAGGGTAGAACCCCGCTGTGTTCAGTAGGACACCTCCCACCCACCCCACGTGGACTCCCTGTTAGTATATTATCAGAATCAACTCATGACCATTACACATCTTTGCAGGTTGTGAGATTACAGGGTTGTCATAATCACAGGAATATGAGAGACTGAGTTCATATTCTCATTTCTGAATTCATTGCAGAGCAGTAGAATAACTATCATAACTTGGCAGCCCACCCACAGTGGGCCTGGGGGTAGGGGATTAGGAATCACTCTTTCTTGTTTAATATCTAACAAAATATTGCTAAGAAACAGCCTCAGTAGTGTTTGGTTTCCAAAGTCTACCATTTCTGTTTTTGGACAACTGATAAAACATTTTCCCTTGCTCTATCTGCTTTCCATAATTTCTCAAAGATCACTAGCCATGGTGCCAGGTTCTGCATCTGTGTTCCAAGATGGATGTGATCTGTCTGGGGTCCAGAAGTCTGAGTTTCTTTAAAATTACTAGGTATTCATTTAAGTCCTGTTTTCCTACATTTAGTTTAGTTTCCTTTCAGCCTTTTTTGGTGTACTCTTTACAGTTATCGTTGAAAGAGGAACAAAGTAGTTTTGTCCAGAGCAGCAGGGAACTTGTTCTAAGTGCAAACTTTCAGGTCCTACCCCAGATCCACTGTGGGGTGGGGTACAGTTATCAGTGTTCTCACAAGCCATCTAGGTACTCTGATGCGTGCCGATGTTGGAGAACCACCGTATTAGATTATCCTCCCCAAGCTGTGCTCTCCTCCGTCAGTATTCATCCTGCCCTCTTGTTAAATTACCCCTTTTCCCCAGACTTCGTTGCATTCTGGGATTTAGTATTCCTAATACAGGCCAGACCGTTATTTTGTTGGAAAATATTTTTGTAATTGTTTTCATTTTTTGTCTGTGCCCTTTTTAACTGAGCTCATCAGGAACTTGCCTTGAGTTATTCCTAGAGGTATCTGTTCAGTTCGGTTTTTAAAGTTTCAATTCATGGGCTCCGAGTAATCTAAGTTTTGTTGACATTCACTTTCCCAAAGGGTCGACTATATATCCGATTATGCAAAATATTTAGGTGCTTTTTGTTTTGCCGTGTTGTGTTTGTGTTTTGCCTTTTACAACTTAATTAATTTCTCGTAAAAGCCCTATCACTTCAACATTGTGATTGTGCTGTGTAGGTGGTATGCATTTGTTTACGTTTCCATTCAAAATTTGGATATCCATTTTAAGCAAGTCTAAGAGGCAAAAATCTCTCTCATATGGAGGAGACACTACTTCATAAGAACTCTTTCCCCAAATATTTAAGATATATAATTTTTCAGTAAAGATAGCTGTGTCATGTCGTAAAAATATGGTAACTATAACTACAAATCATATTAACTGATACAAAACTAAATGTATCTTGCACAAGTACAGATTATAAAATCAATATTCAGTACCAAAATTCCCTTTATATTTTCTAATATAGTCATAAAAGTATAAAATTGTATATGTCCTTAATGTAATATGATCTGTTCCCATAACTTGCCTTTAAATTGTACGGCTATAAATTTTGGATTAGTTTTTGCATGCAGTTAAAAATTCAAACTGTTCTTCCCTGAATTTGGAGATTTTTTAAGTATTTTATTTAAAATCTCATTAAGTCTATTAATTTAACATACTTTGCCACTTAATGTTTTTATATAAATTTTTCCTGGCAACCACAATTCATTACTGATCTGAGGTTGGGAAATAACTTTTTAAAACTGAATTATTCCATTTTTTATATAATAAATACAAAAACTTACAACCAAATTGTGGATTAATTTAAAAAAATGTAGATATAGATTTAACATGATTTTTAGTGTCTCAAATAAAGAGACTTAATACAATAATTAAATACAGCATCTCTAAAGATAAAAGATGTCACATGAATGATGCATATTTTTTTGAATGATGCATGTTTTGAAATAATTTTTAAGGCTTCTTTGTAGTCAGGAAAGACATAATCTTCTGGTTTTTAACCTCTGCTTTAATGAATAATCATTATGATGCTCTTTGGAAATTGGATAAAAATGGGTAAAGTTCAATATATCTGAAACTTTTCATGAGGAAACAATGAATCAAATATTCTATAGTCATCTCTGCCTAATGAAATTTTCAGCAACAATTGCTCTGCTTTGTGGGTAGAGCAGCATTAAGTGCACACGTTGAACCAACTTACACAGAGTGCTCTTCTGTGTGTTTTCAATACCAAAATTACCAAGAATATTTTTTCAGAATTTCATTCTTTCCTACCTCAAAACTGACATCTGTTTACAACTAAGCATGCCTCAAGTCATTCTCTACTATTACCCATAAGATATGACTTTCTTCTTACATAGAGACAGAAGAAAAATGCTAGAATACATTTTCATTAAAAATTCTGAATTTTTTTGTTGGTTTGTTTTTGTTTGGTTTATGTTTTCATTTTTTCCCCTCTCTTACTACAAGTCCTCATGCATTTTTAATTTTTCTAAGTCATTATTTTTTAGGCTTAAAATTAAACTGAGTTTTCAGAGGCTCATATAGTTTTTTCCTGCTTCAAGTCAGTGGCAACTTTAATACCCCCCCAAGGGCATTCGAGCATATGGATTGATCTTGTAAAAAAATTCTTTTTTCCCCCACATGGAACTGAAGATAATAAATACTTTTGAACCCTGTATCTTCCTTGACCATATGGACTTCATAGATAAATGCTCATTAATTTTCAACATGCATAATTTTGGAGGAATTTCTAATGCAGTACAATGAAATTCTTCTTGATTACCTCTTTCAAGAAGTATTTTAATGAAGAGAACTTGTAGAATTCTTTAGGGGAAAAGCCTTTGAGAAAAAGTCAAATTCATGTGAATATATCCATGATTTCATAAAATTCTTTCCAACAGACTGATGGAGAAACTTCTCTGGTATATGCCTTTCCCCTGAAAAGCTATGCAGAGTTGTTTAAGAATAGGGTATGGAGATTTTTGAAAGTCCATTAATCAACTTTCAGATGTGTTTTAGCTATGGACTACCTGAGGTCTATGAAAGCATATCAGAATCAATAAAGAGTGATTGAGTAATCTGGACCATCTACAAACAATAGATACATAATTTTTTAAATATTTTTTTAATTTGATTAAGGAAGTTGTTTCATAGAGAGCAGAATGCAGTAATGAAAAAATAAAAACACATTAACTTACTTCTGTGAATTTTTATATCCTAATTTACAGTTCTTCATAAGGATATCGGTCCTTGCCGAGCAGCAACAATAACAGGAACGCTCTCTAGGATTTCTCTAAATGATGACGAAGAAGAGAAGGGAACAAACCCTGAAGGGCTAAGCTATTCCACACTCCCTGGAAACGTCATTTCCAAAGTCATTATCCAGCAACCCACGGGTATGCACATGCCCATGAGTATGAATGAGCTGGGCAATCAGTGTTTGAAAAAAGAGAACAGTGAATTGCGAAGAACTGTGTACTTATGTACAGATGACAATTTGAGAGGAGCTGATATGGACATGGTCCATCCTCAAGAAAGAATGATGGAAAGTGACTATATTGTGATGCCCAGAAGTTCTGTAAATACCCAGCCATCAATGAAAGAAGAAAGCAAAATGAATATTGGTATGGAAACCTTGCCACATGAAAGGTTATTGCACTACAAAGTGAATCCCGAATTCAACATGAATCCCCCTGTAATGGACCAGTTCAGTATGAACTTAGATCAACACCTTGCACCCCAGGAACATATGCAGAATTTGCCCTTTGAGCCTCGCACAGCTGTGAAGAATTTCATGGCCTCTGAGTTGGATGATAATGCAGGACTATCAAGAAGTGAAACTGGGTCAACGATATCAATGAGTTCATTAGAGGTAAGCAATAGAATAAACCTTTCCTTGATATTTGAAATATTTGATATTTGAGAAATTGATTCATATGACAGTGGACTGAAGGAGAAGACTCACATTACCTTTTGCATTTATGTATCATACACAAATTTTTGGCATGTTGGTATTAAGATTCTAGACATACTTTTTTTTTTCCCAGTAGTACATCAGAATGCTCTTTCTCAAGACCATGTTTTGAAAAGGGAGTCCTCTATGTTTAAAAGGATATCAAACATAATTCTTTCATAATGGGAATCAAGTACAGCACTCATAAAGGAAAAAATAGAAGATCCTCTTGATGTTTCTCGGTTACCAGAGATTCTTTTGGTAGTCAAAGTAGTTCCTGGATGGCATTACAAACTTAAACCAAAATCTGGATTTTCTGTGTGAGGGCATCCATTAAAAATACCAAAATTGGAATGTTTCTGTGGAGTCTTCCATTACACTGATTATAAACTCTATTTTTATGTTAGATCGATATCTTTCAGAGTAAGTGTTTTGCTGTCAGCTCTTGTAGAATGATGACCACTAAAATTTTTTATCTTAAATTGTGAGCTCTCAGGAGGGATGCACATTAATCAGATTAAGAGTCAAGACTCCGAGGCCCGACCACATGGCTTTTCTATAAAAACAAATTCCCCTCAGCTTCTTTTCTACGCATAAAATGAAATACAGAGTAGTCAACCGTTATCAATATCATGCATATTATAATTAATCAAGTAAGACCTAAGGAATGTGTCTTTTTTTTTTTAACCAACATACGTCATGTTACTGTTTTGTGACTTTTATATCTTGTACCTTGAAATTTTGCTATAAACCTACTGCTGATATATTACGTATGTTTAGTATACAATGCAATACACGCACTCTTTTGCATGTATGGCCAATTGTTTTAATATGATAGGTCATTTCATAAGACACTACCTAGAGAAAGACACTATAACTGGTTGCTTACCCTTTCCATCAGAAATATTGCTGATCGGGCGCCTGGGTGGCTCAGTTGGTTAAGTGACTGCCTTCGGCTCAGGTCATGATCCTGGAGTCCCGGGATCTAGTCCCACATCGGGCTTCCTGCTCAGCGGGGAGTCTGCTTCTCCCTCTGACCCTCTTCCCTCTCATGCTTTCTATCTCTCATTCTCTCTCTCTCTCTCAAATAAATAAATAAAATCTTTAAAAAAAAAGAAATATTGCTGATCATCATATGTTCTGGTGTTCAAAAGTGCACAGAGGCAGTTGTCCCTCCCTTCTCCCTACAAAGCCATTCCTTCCACTAGATTAACAGAAAAGAGATTCTATAAGGCTAGAGTAACTTGATGAGTGGTGTGATTTTGAGATTTTTTTCCCAACTGAATCAAGGAACTTCTAGATGGGAAAAGTGGTAAAGTGGATGGGATCTAGAATAAATCCCTAGGTTCTAGATCAGCCTTAAACAGAGTAGGTTTTTGGAGAAGAATCATCCCTCAGAACAAAAAGCATAGGGGCAGTGAGGCCAAGTTACCTGTAGGGGCAGGAGCTCCCACTACCACTGGACAAAAGTGTTCTGTCCTTCTGAATTAGCAGACAAGCTACTATTTCTCTGTTCTAACTTGTGTATCCCAGAGACTAGCAGGTCACCTACAGTATGACCACATAAGCACAAACTACATAATATTTATGCAAAATCACAAAAGTTTCAAAAGGATTTTCAGTGACTGTGCATATAATAATATAACATCCTAAGTAATCATAATTCTGATGTACTACTTGAAAATCATAATGGCCATATGAGTCCTCTCTATAGAACAGCTCTTTAAAATATGCTAAAGGGGCTGGAATGGAATTGCATTAAAATATCTTGCCTTATTATAAAAATGCTTTACATCTAAAAGCCTAAAAACCTCACGGGGATTTGATATTATACAGGTTGTGTGTGCTTAAACAATAGACTAAATTTCCAAGTGTTTCTCTGGCTTTATAATTTTTCCAGATCTCCATATCCTTATTATTAAGTATAAGCATCATATATAACTGTGATTCAGCCAAAAGATCTGCATTTAAATGACTTAGAGATCACAAGGCTTACATCTTGAAAAGGAAAGAAAATTCAGGATTCAGAATGAAAATTCAGTTCCTCATTTTCATTCTTTAAAAGAATTTAATAGTAATTGCTTATGGTGACCATTTTAGGAGACAGCTGAAAGAGAATATATAGATGTGGGAATGAATAATAAAAATTAGCATTTATATAGCATCTTTCATTAGCAGATCCTCAAATCACCTTAAAAACATGAATTAATTAATCTTCACAACACCTCTGTGCAATGGATAAGTCGTTATAAACCTTGAAGTAAAGTCATTTATTCAAGGTTACAGAGCAAGTACATAGCACATGTAGGAAAAGAATCTTTCTGTCCTGATCAATTTTATGCTGTCTAAAAGAGACAATAATGTGTCTGGACATCAGCAGGAGAGCAATTTTAAAGTTCGTTTTAACCCTTGACAGACACGTGGTCTTACAGTGAATAAAGACATGATAAGGATAAAGTATAGGTATACATAGCTAACAGATCTTGGAGATAGGACTGTGACTGAAGATAAAGTTAGTGGTACGGCTTTCCTCATGAGCAGAGTGATGCGCTGTCAAGTTGAGTTATCAGCTCTGCTAGACTGTATCTGCAGGGCCAACCAGTGAGGAAGATGATATCCTGACATTAGAGAATAAAACCAAAAGATGACTGGAGTTATCTACATAATGAGGGGATCAACGGTAGCCAGGAGGTGCCCGGAGTCTTTTAGAAGACAATGTAAAGACGCAAGTGGGTGAATATGTGGATGACGTGAGGCCCAAGCCATAGAACAGTTTGAGTTGTCGCCCCTTCTGAGCGAGAAGGAAGATCACACCCACAGGAACACCCAGCCCGGGAAACTGCAGCAGCAGAGGACGGCCAGGTGCATCAGGATCCTTTCAAGAATAATAATGTTCTTGATGTTCATGTGAATTCAGGAAGTTTCCTCCAGAGGAGCGGGTATTCACAAATCGCCAAGTGGGGTTGGGGGGAGAAAGAGAAGATAAAAGCTACCAGTTGTAGCACAGAATGTGGTTTGCATAAGGAAAAGAGAAGGCAAGGAGAAACAAGATTAAGGGAAAGAAAACGAGAGCCAGAGTGGGTGAGTGTGTAGAATTATTTATTCAAATAAGCAGGAGGCAATAAAGAAGGAGAGAGGCTCCCCAGCCCTGAAGGCAGTGCCAGCAGAAAAGGCTATAGCCTCCAGAGGAGTTTGTTTAGCTAACCCCCAATTATTGAGTGTAAAAAAGTTTGATGAATGCATGAAGTTTCTTGGCATAAAAGCTTATCCAGATTTTCTCCTTGCCCAATATTACCTTCCTTTTTTTTATATAATGTGTTATCTTCCATCTTCCCAACTGTATCCATTCGCAGGATGGGCTCGATGAGCAATTCTGAAATTTTAGTTTCGAAAGATTTAGTTTCCACAACTATGGGATAATGGGAATTTTAATATGGTAGATCACAATGGCTCCAGCCCTCGATGTCCTCTAAATGCTTTAAGGTTAAGAAGAATAAAACTGTCAGGAGTGTCTGGGTGGCTCAGTCAGGTAATCATCTGACTCTTGATTTTGGCCCCGGTTATGAGATTGAGCACCACATTGGGCTCCGCGCTCAGCAGGGTGTCTGCTTGAGATTCTCTCTCCCTCTCCTTCTGTCTCCCACTAAAATAAATAAATAAATGTTTTTAAAACAAAAAAAAGAAAAATGAAACTGTCATCAGCACTGAAGTCATTCACCTTCAATTAATGAAAAAAAAAATGTGTTGATATTTGGTGTGTATAAAAAGCAAGTAACCACTAGGTGCTGTGGAGCAGGTGGGGGAAATATTAAGGTATCATAGTCCTTAAGCCATTTTGAGGACTATGAAACATAGTTTAAATTTTGGATTGTGGTTCTATTTATTTTTTTTTTTAAATTCTAGGTATATCATTGTAAGATAGGTCAGTATTTGCTTTGAATCTTTGGAACACTGGTATTTATTCCACAGCCTGTAGCTTGTTAGATTTAAATAATAAACATTTCCTCACTCAAAAATCTTCCCAGTTTGTATGCATGTCCTGGGCCTGTTTGGCACATGGTCCATTCTGCACCCTTTTCTCCTGTGTCACTCAGGGCTGATGCAGGTTCCTGTGCTTCTGACTGGGAGAGATTGGCCACTAGGAGGCACTGGGGAGAGATTGGAGGTGGGCCAAATCCCAGGCTATTTCTCCCCTGCTCATTCTGCTTTGGACACCATCTTGTGTCTTTTCAGCTGCTGTTTCTTAATGCTTCTGGCTTTGGCCAGGTGTCTCAGCCCCTGGGCTTAGGTCACAATGCTATCTCCCTTTGTCCAGCCTGGGGGGATAGTCACTTCTGCTAATCTCTGGGTTACCTCGTGATCCTGTATGTGGCTTCTCAGCTCCACTATCACTAGAATTCTTATGAAACGCTTTGCTCAGATGTAAATACATTAAGTGGTTCCTCTCATTCTCCTGACAAATTGTGTCTTAATTTTTCTTATTCATGAAGAAACCCTTAATGGCTAATCAGAGTTAGATAGGTTACAAAATGATTTTATCAGGAGCAGAAAGATTTGCTACTCCAGCTTTTCTGACCATTTCGGTATAAACTTAACTATGTATCTGAAAACATTGTCAGATAAGTCTCCCTCAATTTAGAAACAGGTAGAAAGGGACACCATTCTAGGCTACATTTTTATACTCCAGTTTTCTGGACATGAATTATAGAGCTCTCACCATAATGGTTTTTAAAGGTAAAACATGTTAGCTATAATGTCACATTGCAGTTGCCTCCCATAAAACCCCTGTGAGGATCAAATTAGATAATGTATGTGAAAACCCTTTGAAAATTGAAAGAAGCCCTTCAGATCTAAGGTTGTGTTATTATTTCATTACCATTATATCTTGAATTTCTGTGAAGAAGCTTGAATGCTGTATT